CGGAGTTTGGGTGTGATCCTGGACTCATCGCTGAGCCTGGAACCCCAGGTTTCGGCGGTGACCAGGGGAGCATTTGCACAGTTAAAACTTGTGCGCCAACTGCGACCGTACCTTGGGAAGTCTGACTTGGCCACGGTAGTCCACGCTCTGGTTACATCCCGTCTTGACTACTGCAACGCTCTCTATGTGGGGTTGCCTTTGAAGACGGCTCGGAAGCTCCAATTAGTTCAACGGGCGGCAGCCATGATGCTAACAGGAACGGGGCGCAGGGAGCATACAACTCCTCTGCTGTACCAGCTCCACTGGCTGCCGATTTGCTACCGGGCCCAATTCAAAGTGCTGGCGTTGGCCTTTAAAGCCCTAAACGGTTCTGGCCCAACATATCTATCCGAATGTATCTCGGCCTATCAGCCCACCAGGACCCTAAGATCTTCTGGGGAGGCCCTGCTCTCTATCCCGCCTGCTTCACAGGTGCGGCTGGCGGGGACGAGAGACAGGGCCTTTTCTGTGGTGGCCCCTCGGCTTTGGAATGCCCTCCCCATAGAGGTAAGGTCAGCCCCCTCGCTGATGGTGTTTCGAAAAAGACTAAAGACATGGATGTTCGAACAAGCTTCGGTTAACTCGGTGCAATGAATTTGATGATCAAGGATTGGTAATCACAGACGATGAAATTGGATTGTGATTTTAGTTAAGAGATGCATTGGTTTGTTATTGGTGGCCCAATATTGTGTATTGTGTATGTGTTTTTATGCTTTTTAAACTGAATATTGTTGATTATTGTAGTGTTGTAAACCGCGTTGAGTCGCCAATGTAGGCTGAGAAACAGCGGTATACAAGCGCAGTAATAAATAAATAAATAAACAAATATGTCTGTGGAACTGGGTATACCAGCCACATACACAGACATATTTTCATTTTTATTATGTATAATATAGATAGATATCATTTTTAAAGCTCTACCATAGTATTTGCTACTCCCTAATATAATGATCAGAAATGTCGTGATGCTCATGCATTCAATAAAACTTGCCAAGTGAAGCAGCCCTGGGAGAACATGGTTTACTAGGAACAAGGTGTCTAGGTATGCTATTGCCAAGGTTCAAATATCCCATGTCTCTTCAGAGCATGCCTGACAGAGGCAGCTGGCTGGCTATTTGAAGGTGACTCTTTTCATGGTACCCTTATTTAAAAAAACCCATTATAGATCTATTTCTGCACAAGGAAACACAATTATTTAAAGTATGGGTGAAACACTCCTAATAATGCCAACTTGTAACCTTTTAATAAGATGCTTTATTGACCAGATTAGATTTTGAATCCCAAGATGAAGAGCTGTATTGAAATAAGACTTGCTACAGATTTCAGAAGGCAAAATCCAATTGCTTAGCTGAAATTTAATCAGAAAGTTCAATCTTCGTATTGAAACTGAAAGGCAGAACTGGCAGCAGAGCTCCCCCTACAGGTATTTTTTTCTTTGTCTTTAAAAGAAACTGATTTTACTGGCGAGATACTCCTCTAAGAAACTAAAGTTGGCCCTCCATATCAACAGATTCTGCATACATAGATTCTACCATCCACAGATTGAAAATATTCAAAAGAAATTAATATAATCCTTTGATGCAGCCATTTTATCAAAGAAACACTGTTTTCCTACCACGTTTTATATAATGGGACTTGAGTATCCACAGATTTTGATATTCATGGGACTCTTAGCACTAATATACAAGGGATATCTGGAAAGTAAGGTTACAAGATTTTTTTAAAATACAAATAATGAATATATTTTAGTAAAACTTACATGGATTGTAGCATAGCTATTACATTATTTTTCCACATAGTCACTATTTAGTTAGTTCAATACATTTTGTCATCCGTGCAACAGCTTTTTTGATGTCTGTGTCATAGAAGACTCCCGCCGTCTTTTTCAGGCAGGTCATGACTTTGATTTTCACCTCATCATCGTCAGAAAACTGTTTTTCACCAAGGTGTTCCTTCAATTTAGTGAACAGATGATAGTCACTGCGTGCGAGATGGGGGCTGTGAGAGGGGTAACTTAAAACATCCCAACCAAATGAAGTCAACAACTCTTGTGTTCATGAGCGGTGTGTAGACACATATTGTCATGAACTAGACAGACTCTCACAATCAGCATCCCACAATTTTTGTTTTGGATGGCTCTGTAGCATTGATTGTTTCACCTCTTTCCAAAAAATCAACGATTTTCTGTCCCAAACACTGATGCCACAATTTTTCTCATGATAACTCGCAGCGGCATTCATGACCTTAGCATTTAGGCAGCGTATTAGTGTGAACTTCACACTTGGCAGGAAACAGAATGAGGACGCTCATCTCTAACCTTCACCACAACACTAGTCAATGAGCTACTGACGACTGGCATTGCTCGCTCGCTTCCCACTACACGGCAATGATACCAGCTTCCCCTTATGAAAATTTCCCACAAGAGCTACATGTCTTGTAACTTTACTTTCCAGATAACTCTCATACACAGTCATATTACACAGTTTGAACTGCATTATATGGTCAGTGTTGACTTATATAATGCACTTTAACTGAGTCTATACTAACCATATAACACAGTTTCAAACAGTTAATATGGTAGTGTAAATGGCGCCTTGGAACCAAAACCAAACCATACCAAGGACCGGCTGCACTGCTTTTTCTGGATTACCTGACAAGAGTTACAGAAATCTTCCATGGAGACCTGGCCAGTTATTTTAAGTTTGTAAACTATATGGGATGACAAAAGTGTCTGTTTAAATGTAAAGTGGTTGAGTAAAACTTTTTTTTCATGACTCTCATTTTCTAAATAATACTTTGGAATCTAATTAAATGATCTCATAATGTTTTCTAGGATATCTAGGATAATACTTACATTTCATCATGTTTTTTAGCAAGCTGAACTTCTCGTGCTAAATAAGATGCCATCTTTGGTCATGGAAAGAAGACTCCAGTTTTACAACTCTGGTAAAGAAAAGAAAAGAAGGAAAAGTAAATCGAGTTACCTTCTGCACAGGTAAACAAAAGCTAAGCTAGGTTTATTTTAGGGGGGGGATCTGCTTTCTGCCTTTTGATATATGAAAAAAGACAAAAGGAAAAAAGAAAGATAAAAATAAGAGATGCAGATTGGAAGTATGCTTAGAAAAACCACACAAAATGTTTCAGCAAAGGACATGTCAAAACTAATATCAAATTGGGCTGCATACATAACAATAAAATAAATAAATCATATAAATATCATAAAATTTTAAAACATAATACCTAGTCCTGCTGTCATCCTTTATGTTGCTACACTATGCCGGATCCATATTGCACTACCCAAATGCCTGATGGCATAATAAAGTTTTCACCCTTTTTCTAAAGACCAGGAGGGAGGGGGCCAATCTGATCTCACTTGGGAGGGAGTTCCATAGCTGAGAGGTCACCACTGAGAAGGCCCTGTCTCTCCTCCCCACCTATTGCGCCTGCGATAGAGGTGGAACTGAGAGCAGGGCCTTCCCTGAAGACCTTAATGCTCTAACAGGTTCACAGGATGTGATACGTTCGGATAGGTAAATTGGGAATAGGAATAGGGGCACAGGGCCTTTGTGAAAGTTAGAAATTGCAAAATTATCCCAAAGAGATCTCTCAGTTTTCCAGCTCCACTCTATAGTCAACTTCCACTTGAAGCTATCCCTGGAACTGCATTAGAGTAGCTAGAGTAGTGGTTCCAAACCTTTGGGCCTCCAGGTGTTTTGGACTTCAGCTCCCACAGTTCCTAACAGCTGGTAAACTGGCTGGGATTTCTGGGAGTTGAAGTCCAAAACACCTGAAGGCACAAAAGCTGGGAACCACTGAGATAGAGATTCCTAGAAAAGTAAATTGGGACTGGGTTGCTGTGAGTTTTCCCGGTTGTATGGCCATGTTCCAAAAGCATTCTCCCCTGTCATTTCACCCACATCTATGGCAGGTATCCTAAGAGGTTGTGAAGTGGGATTGTCCACCAACCAATGGAAAGGGTCCTGGGAGCTCTATTCTAAAGAGCAAAACACCCTTTTAAAATATGACTTGCAGTTCTATTCACAGAGTCATATTAATTAAGTGTGCTTACCAACATGGTGTGATTGTTTGAGCGATGGACAAGGCCTATAGGGGACCACAATTCAAATCCTGTGGAACAACCTGGTGGAAGAGATTCGATAGTTAAATGAGCTGTCAGAATTTTTAAGAGCTATCTCTTCTACCAGATCTACCAAGTCAATTATAATCTATGAATTGTAACTGTACATTATAAGTATTTGTTCTGTATCTTCTAATATATATTTTACTGTTATTATGTTTTATCTTTGTATTTCATTTATGATGTACCCAACCTCGAGCTATGAGGAGAAGTTAGTAACAAAGGCAATTCATTGCTATTGTTACTATCAACCTGTGACATGGTCGGGGGGGGGGGGGGGGGGGGGGGGGGGCTCCTTTTGCTCCCACCACCATCACAAGTACGAATGGTGGGGATGAGAGAGGGCATTATCGGTGGTGGCTCCCCGTCTCTGGAACGCCCTTCCAAGGGAAATAAGACAGGCCCCATCCTTCCCCTCCTTTCGTAAGAGCTTGAAGACAAGCCTTTGAGAATGACCAGTTTTAGTCCAGCCCCAAACATTATTGAATATGGCCTTGCACTACTTACCTATTACCCCGGTCATCCCTCTAATAGGCCCTGGAAATGAGCAGCCACAGACTCGTACCTGCTATTGTTGTTAGCCTGTTATAGCACTGAACTTAATTCCTGCCTCCCCCCCCCCCCTCATATTTTGAGTTAACCCTTGGCCCGGCTTTTTAATTACTCCGAATAGGCAGGATTATTTTTAATATACATGTGTTATTGTTATCATTTTATGCTTATGTTGTTTTGTTAATTTTATGTTATGCTGTTTACTTTGTATGTTTCAGTGATGTTACTTGGAAACCGCTCTTAGTCCCCTCGGGGAGATAGAGCAGTATATAAATAAAGTTTTATTAATGTATTTTCGAAGGCTTTCATGGCTGGAACCACTAGGTTCTTGTGGGTTTTTTCGGGCTATAGGGCATGTTCTAGAGGCATTTCTCCTGACGTTTCGCCTGCATCTGTGGCAAGCATCCTCAGAGGTAGTGAGGTCTGTTGGAATTAGGACAATGGGTTTATATATCTGTGGAATGGCTGGGGTGGGGCAAAGAGGTAGTGAGGATGCTTGCCATAGATGCAGGCGAAACCCACAAGAACCTAAAGTTTTATTATTTTATTATTATAAATAAGAAGACCACATCACAGATGGAAAGATTCAGGGTGCATCTACACTGTAGAATGAATGCAGTTTAACACTGCTTTAAATGCCATGGTTCAGTGCTATGGGATCCTGGGACTTGTAGTTTTGCAAGGCCTTTAACTTTCTCTGTCAAAGAGTGCTGGTGCCTCACCAAACTGCAAACCCCAGGATTCCAGAGCATTGAGTCAGGGCAGTCATTCTAAAGCAGGCATGGGCAAAGTTGGGCCTTCCAGGTGTTTTGGACTTCAACTCCCACAATTCCTAACAACCTCGGGCCCTTTTCTTAAGGGGGAAAAGGAAGGGGCCTGAGGCTGTGCCCATGCCTGTTCCAAAGTGTTAAAATGCAGTCTTCATCTGAGCGCGCCCCCGCAACTGGGAATGCGCTCTTCCATTTCCCCTTTAAACTGTCCCTGTGGAACGTACCATTACGGAGAACAAGAGACGTGCAAGCTTAATCTCAGCGAACCCCCACAATTGGGAATGCGCGCTTCCGTTTTCCCTTCCAGCTGTCCCTGTGGAACGTACCAATTAATCGAGAAAGGGGGGGGGAGGCGAAGAGTTCTAAAAGCATTCGAAGTATAGACAACAACAGCAGGGGGGAGTGAACCCAGCTCAAGCTCAAAAGGCCTGTGGAAGATACCACAAAGAGAAGAAGCGGGGGGGTGTCCAGTAACTAAGGTGGCCCATACCACTATGATGGGGAAAAGCAACAAATATTCCCTCGCAGCTTCCTCTTCACTTTCTTCACTCCCGTCTCGTGATGTCACTACGATGGGACGCGAGGGAGGGGGCGGGGACAAATGACCACTGAGGCTGATCCCATTGGTCCATCCGCCTAAAAGGGGCGCGGCTATAGCCAAACACGTAAACACTTTTCTTCTTCTAGACGTCACTCTGCGCGCGCTCGCTCGCTTGCGCTGGTTGCTCAGCAACGGAAAAGGGGCGGGGCATTTAGCGTCAGCTGATGACATTTCCCAGCCAACAAGAAAAGTTCCAGAGCAGCAGTGATGCTCCTTTTTGCAAAGTAAAGTTGAAACACATCTCTTTTCTTTTCTCAAGGGGCATCTACACTGCATAACTAATGCAGTTTGATACCACTTCAGCTGCCATGGTTCAATGCTATGGAACCCCAGGGACTTTTAGTTTTGCAAGGTCTGGTAAAATACAGAGGGTGTTGGGAAACTAGATTATATGGCACTGTAGGTGAATCATAGAATCAAAGAGTTGGAAGAGACCTCATGGGCCATCCAGTCCAACCCCCTGCCAAGAAGCAGGAATATTGCATTCAAATCACCCCTGACAGATGGCCATCCAGCCTCTGTTTAAAAGCTTCCAAAGAAGGAGCCTCCACCACACTCCGGGGCAGTGAGTTCCACTGCTGAACGGCTCTCACAGTCAGGAAGTTCTTCCTCATGTTCAGATGGAATCTCCTCTCTTGTAGTTTGAAGCCATTGTTCCGCGTCCTAGTCCCCAAGGAAGCAGAAAACAAGCTCCCTCCCTCCTCCCTGTGGCTTCCTCTCACATATTTACACAGGTGAGGCCTGAAAGGGCCTGGAACTCTTCCTTCCCCCTCCTTTCCTTTCTCTTCCTTTCCTTGTTCTTTCCTTCCTTCTAATCTTTCATCTTTCCTTTCTCTTTCTGGGCACCACAATTGAAGGGAGATGTTGATAAGCTGGAATGTGTCCAGAGGAGGGCGACTAAAATGATCAAAGGTCTGGAAAACAAGCCCTACGAGGAACGGCTGAAAGAGCTTGATTCCAGCCACATGACCTTGGAGGTGTCTACAGACAACACCGACTCTTTGGCTTAGGAATGGAGATGAGCCCCCCCTCCCCCAAGTTGGACACGACTAGACTTAATGTTAAAAGAAACTTTTACCTTTTACTTACCTCGCAATAGCCAATTTGCTTTGTTCCTTTCTTTTTCCTCAGCTCTAAGTATTTGTTGTTGTTTTTTTAAGTTCACATCCCTCAATTACTTCAGATTGGATGATGTGTGCCAAATTTGGTCCTTATCCATCAAGCCTTTTTGGTACAAACCAAATAACACTATGTAAAACGACTTTTGTTCCTGGGTTATAAATGTCATTTCCTAATTGGTTCTATCATAAAAACATTATCAAACTGCAAATACTTTGTTTTTGCAGGTCATCCTGTATTATGTTTTGCTGTAGTTTTTCTCATAGACTCTCAACCAATTCAACATAGTTTGTGGCAGTCAAAGAAACCAAGTTTCTGGAGTACAGCAACTGCTTTCAAAGTAAGTACCACACAATTGAACAGAAAACAACACTTTCAAACCAGACACAGAAAAATTTTCAAAGTTTGTTACATAGTTCAATATTTTGACAAACACATATAGATTGTTATTATTATTATAGAATACAACTTGAGTATCCACAGATTCAGGTATCTTTGAGTGAGGTGGGGAGGCTATCAATACTGAATGAATACCAAGGGCCCATTGCATTCAAAAGATTATATACCAAAACACGATTGGATCCAAGCATTTTAGAAGGATATTCATCCTGTATTTTCCATGCCCAATTATGTTTTTCAGACTGTTAAGTGTTATTTGCTCCTCAGACTGTTGTTCCCACAGGTTTTGGTAAACTGTGGGTTAACCAGAAAAAAGTGAACCTTAGCTGGTGTTTATAATACATTTTATTACTCGCCTCTCATGATGACTTGAGGTACAACAAAGTCAAAGCATAGGAACATAAAATGCATACAATAAAATACATAGATAAAAACACCTATACAAAATTCACATATAGCAGTAGTAGAATGTAACTCAAAACATATGATTGAAAGTTGACTAGGTAGGCCTAATTGGAAGAGATGGGTCTTCAAGTTCAACAGAACTGTTTTTTTTTCCTTTCACATTGTGCAATTATGGTCTATCATAGTGATTCTACTTTTATGTTCCATAGCTACATCACATGACATCCTAGGGTTTATCAATTGAGGAGACACTAGAGGAGGAGGACTAGGACCCTCTAGATCAATTGGAATGTCGGCTGACTCACTTGTACCTCGTGGCCACTTTTCCCTTCAAGAACAATTATAATCAACCAATGTCAATTTATTTTAATTGTTTTTTATCATTTGAGATGTTTCAATGTTGAGTATGTGATTAGTGTAACCTGTTTCTATGTGATTATTTGTATCTTGTTTTTCATTTGATGTCAATTTTATACAATAACTTCACTGTCATTATGCTTATTATATTGCATTATTGCAATTGTTTGTTTGTTTGAGGGGTTTTTTTTTTTGCATTTGTCTGGGCATTAAATGTTTGCCTTTTTGTGTTGTAAGCTGCCCTGAGTTCCCTCAGGGAGAGAAGGCAGTCTATAAATAAAGTTTTAAGATGATGATGATGATGATGATGAGGTCAACTGTGACTAGCAGTGCTGTAGAATTTGAAGAAGCATGAGTGTAGGGCGAAAGAGAGAAACGTGCCAAGAGGAAGGTGCGTCAAGCCAACCCCGACTTTCTGCCAGGAAACCGATGCCCTCACTGCGGGAGAAGATGCAGATCAAGAATAGGGCTCCACAGTCACCTATGGACCCACCGCCACGATACTACACTTGGAGGACCATCATCCTTGGACTATGAGGGATCGCCTAAGTAAGTAAGTAAAGTAAGATTATTATTATCGCACTAGAGTCCCTCTCTCAACTGCAAATTACAGGACTCTGGGTATTGGAAAGGGAAATCATAGTGTTATAATGGTATAATATGAAAGGGGTTTGGGATATTCTATTCCATCCCATATCTTCTCTGGTACACACTGGAGAATTGATGCTGTTTGACACCACTTTAACTGCCATGGCTCAGTGCTATGGAGTCATGGCAATTATTTTTCAAAGTCTTTAGCCTTTTTTTGCCAGAGAGCTGGTGCCTCACCCAAACTACAAATCCCATGATTGTATAGCATCGAGCCATGGCAGAGAGTGGTGTCAAACTGTATTAATTCTACAGTGTAGATTTTTTTTTGTTTGAGATTTTGTGAAATAGAGTCTCAGTGAGTTGATTAATACAGTGCTTCCTTCTTGTGCATGGATGGTGCTATTTTGCCTACATAATGACTGGCACTCAAAAAACTGAGATAGCTGTTAATATATGATGCCACATAAAACCATGCCAGGAATGGTCACACATTGCCTTTCATATCTAGGCTTGGGTGTCTGCCTAACTGAGGTTGCAATTAGTAAGTGTGACTTTTGATTAAATATGCCTAGCCTTATGTTGAAAGGCAGTTCTAAGCTCAGTAACAAGAGAGCAGTCACGGAATCCTATGCAGATCTTCTTAGAATGAAGTATAATGGAATGAAATAAGGTTGACTTTCTGCTTCATGAGATGTTATTAGTTTTCCTTATTATACCTTCCTTGACCCTGCCATGCTTATTGATATTTTTGCCCTTGAAGGGAACCAGCATTTTACATATCAATCATATATGTTTACAACAATGATAACACATTATCAAAGTGTAACTAGAATTGTATGAAAGTCAGTTTAAAGTGGATCTTCCCTTTGTGAAGTTTTCTTTGCTGGATTTGTGTTTTCTCATAAACTGATGGACACTGCTTCTTGCTGTTGTCATATCTTTCCTCATTTGTGTTAATACAGATTGTAAACAGTAGGGAAGATGGGATAGCCCTATGAATTTGTATATTGTACCCACCCTCTCCTTCAAACTGGATTGACTGCAAAAACCTCTGTGCTTATTTGCGAAGTCTGTCACCTAGTGCATAGTGAGGACAGTGCAAGCTTGCCATATACTCATTCAAACGAACTACTGTATATGCGCATGTATAAGTCTCTAAATTTCACTGAAAAAATCAGTCCCCCAAAACTTGGTTGACTTTTCTATGGGTCAAGTTAAGTACTGTACCTTGACTCTTATCAACAAATGAACCACTCCCTTTTGTGTAGAGTGGCAAAAAGTGCCTGAGGGAATCCAACAAAGCATTCCCCCAGGAAGGAAGCAGCCAGGCTTTCCAGCTGCAAGTCTATTCAGTGCTAATCAAGGTGGCCAATTGCAACATTCACACTTGCCTCAAATGGACAAGAATTCTTCCTCCCACCCTGGACATCCCACAGATATATAAACCTCACTTTCCTCATTCCCACATACTCCACAACCTCTGAAGATGCCTGCCCTTGATGTGGGCGAAACATTGGGAGAAAATGCTTCTGGAACATGGCCATACAGCCTGGAAAACACACAGCAAAACAGTGAGAGCTTATTTTTTTTAAGCAAAACCAGCTCACTCTCCATGGAACAGTATGGTTGAAGGAAGGCATATTCAGGCCTCTGTTTCTAAGAAGTGGAGTTCCCTGCCTTTCGAAATGGCAAAGTCAAAACCAATTTATTGTTCATCAGCCAGAAAAGGAGCAACTGCTCCACTGGTTTCTTTGCCCTTCACTCCCCATTCCTTTTTCTTTTACAACATAACTACTATTCTGCAAGTCTGCAGGTAGGAGCTGTCTTATCGTTTAATTTCCATACATTAGCAGTCCTTTGAAAGTTATAATAACACTCATAGTTAACAGTTAACTATTCCCTAGGTAATGGCTCATAGTGTTGAATATGGTAAATCATTTTATAAAAAATTTGAACTGGCCCAACCACAGCTATATGACTAAACATATACATGGGCAATTGTTTAATTAGTGCCAAAGCTCTAAAATGATCAACAGGAAGAGAAGGGAACAACATAATACTTTTAAAAGGGAAATAATTTTATT